CCACACACATACACACACATACATTTATATGTATATTATCTCAGTAAGTCCTCAGAACAACTCTTGGGTAGATTCAATTATTACCTCCACTCAACAGATGAGGAAACTGAGGCACAGGGACATTACATGACTTTCCCAAGGCCACACAGCGAGTAAGTAATAGAGACAGAATTTGATTCTGTACTGTCAGTCTGATTCTGTAGTCTCAATGAGTATGTTTTATTGACTCTCAAATCTATGTAACTGTCCTTGATACCTACTATAGAGGCTTGCACATTGTAGGTGCTCAATAAAAACTATTTTCAACAATTTTATTTAAGGATCATGATTCCTTACATATTGCCATTAGTTTCATACACAATCATCAATTTGGCCTAAGTGCTGAAGTGGAAACAGTGGAATTTTAAATGACGATTATTACTTTGCCTACTTCAGGAAGGCACTGAGGGGCCTAATATGTACATAGCATTTAAAGTACTCAGCAGTTGCCACCTGTAGGAGTAGTTCTTCCAACAGTTTCAGTTTAGGCTAGAAAAGGCAATCCCAAACATACAAGGTTTGTGTTAAACTCAGCTTCTCTGCCTTCCTTTTTTTACTTGCCTCACTATCGTATGTGGGACGAGAGGAATCATTTCATCTCAGAAATACAATTTATTTTCTGCCTATTTCATTTGTCCATCCATCCATCCAGCACTATGTGCCATATATCATCATGTGCTTAGGTGCTGATACTAGAAAGGAGGAGGTGGAAAAACAATAATAGATACTTTCTGCTTTCTAGTTCATATTATTCAGTAATCATATATAGGCCTTTAAGACGCTTGCTTTAATCCATCCCAAAAAGAAGTGTGCTTTAATGCATACTCTGGGAGTTAAGCATTTTTTAAGCAGAAAGTTCTAGTGCTTTTTTTTTTTTTTCTTTAAAAGCCTTGTTATAGTTCTTCTTGAATTAAGTTTCTCGTTGGGTATAATTTTAGGCTAGGGAAGACTGGATGTTTTCTGATGACAGCTAAAGCAAATCAAGAATTATAGTTTACTCAAAGCCTTGAGTTGTAATTGACATTTACTCAGTCATCAATGAAAGAGGGAAGAGATAACCCTGCAAGGGACATTTCCATGGTCTTGAACCCTTAATTCTTCTGCTGAACTGTGGTCCCTCGAAGAGGCATCTGTGTTTGCAGGCTACTCTCAAGTGATGGTCACAGTAGGGACTGGCCAGAGCCTGAGGCTGGTCCCAAAGCATGGATGTCTTAGCAGGAGAACTCAGTGTCTCCTGCTTCCTTAGTCCTAAGGCTCAGTATCTCCAGGTGGCTGACCAGGTGGGCTCAGATAACAGTCTAGCTGTCATCTATCCTGATAAGCCAGGATCCACTTTGCAACTCTATGTGGCGGTGGCTTGGTTCCCATCTGTGGTTTTGATATGCTTCTGATTGGGCCTTTTCCTGCTGGGTTGAGCCTTGGGCATCTCCACTGTATTCTAGGGATCTTGAGTTTTCAGTGAACTGTGGAGGAAGGATGATGCTGACGTAGAAGGCAAGGCAGGGGCGTGAAGGAACAGGCAGAAGACATTTCCTTTATACTATGACATCTTCAAAGTAGGCTATGTGGATGAAATCCTTCACTTGTCAGTGTAGTCCTCTTCCTACCTTCACATGTCATCATTTGCTTGGCCAACCACTTCTTTCCTGCACCTTCTCTCAGCTCTCATAGGTGACAATTTGGATGATCTGAAATACTTTTTGATTCATTGTCTAGGAAGATGCTAACCCTAATGATTAAACAAAGGAGTTGAATGAGATGATCTCTAAGACCTAAATTATGTGATGCTACTTAGCTTTTCTTAACTCTCAGGAAAATCCAGTGCCGTTGTTCTCATTCACCTCCTTCCTTTTGGTGGAAAAATATTAAACTAATGGGGTACTTCATGGGTTCATTTCGGCCCCATCTTTTAATTTTGGAAATGTTTCTTAGTTCATGTTGATTATGTGCTGTTCTTTGTTGACCAGAAGGAGAGCAGCCTAGAACCCAAGCAAGTCATTTCCCATTTCTAGATTTCACTGTTATCTTTAAAGTAAGGGATTAAACCAAATGATTTCTGAGTCCTCTTTAAGCTCTAACATAACACAACCAATTTCTGTTGAGTTGATTCCAACTTATGATGAATCCATGTACATCAGAGTAGAACCGTACTCCATAGGGTTGTCAATGGCTGAATTTTTGGAAGTAGATCACCAGGCCTTTCTTCCAAGGTACCTCTGGATGGACTCAAACCTCCAGCCTTTTCATTAGCAACTGACTGCATTAACTGTTTGCACCATCCAGGGACTCCTCTAACATAACATGGTCCTAATGTTTTTATGGAGCAGAAGTTCACAGGATTTCAGATCTAGACATCTGGAGGGGTGTGTGTGTGTGTGTGTGTGTGTGTGTGTGTGTGTGTGTGTGCGCGCGTGCTCATGAGAGAGAAGGAGAGGGATATTTCTAGGAGATGGAATCAGAAGGCAGCAGTTAGACATCAGAATTCCAAAGTGCAAAAAAAAAAAAAAAAAAGGTCAGTGACCACCTCTCACAGGTTACCTCACAGGCCTGACAAGCCGTTAAGCAAATACCAGATGTCCTTTGAACCAAAATCTGGACTTGACTAAGAAACGCAGCCTCCAGTGACGCTGAAGGAAAGGAAATCTGGAAACATCTATGACACAATTCAGTCCGGCAGAGAATTTTGGGCTAATATTTAACCCTGGACATATATTGACATGGCAATTCTTCTACAATAGATTCACACAAAATTTTAAAAAATGCATATAAAAGCCTTGATTTTTTGTCTGAAATTTTTATACTCTTATTAAAAAAAATTGTTTTTCTTGAGGGAGGATGTTGTGTCATGTTTGCTTCTTTTAGTATTTCTTTTTGTTTTCATTCTTGGCACGGTCTTTCTTTGGACTTTCTTGGGCATTGCATTTTTCTTTTCCATTTTCTCCGCTGTTTGTAGCCACATTCTACAGAATGTTTACTCCTCTTCCTTCCATCACGTGTTATCTCTCCCCACCAGGCCTGTGTGTCTTCATTTCCTCTATGGTGTTTCCTGCCTTCCTTTCTGCTGTCTGTTTCTCTCTCATCGTCCTTGCCTCTGTCTGCTTACTCCTTCTCGCCTCCATTTTCCTCTTTTGCCTCTGTGTTAAGAGTTTCTAGTTCCAGTCTCCCTTCTCTGCTCTTTCTTCCGTCCTCTGATCTGCTGACTGGCTTCTGCCCCCTCATTCTGCTCCCCTCCTGGGTGTTTCATTGGCCCACCTTTCCATCTCCTCTGAGACTTCGTTGTTTTCTTGTTGGTGGATGGGGGCTGATGCTGTAAACATCACAAGAATAATTGCATTGAGAACAGGTGGTTCCTGTGGTGTCCCCGGAAGACAGAGCCTCTGAGTCTGGGCTCCATATGGTGTGAGGGACGGAGCATCAGTGCCGGAAATGTGTCTATACCTTAGTCCCAAGACCCAACATTGCAGATCTTTGGGACTTGTCTCTGACACCTGCCCCCTCCCTAACTAGACATCGAGAGGAACTAGGTCACCTTGGAAGAGAAAGAATTAACCTGCCTTCACCCCGTCAAGCACTTTCCTGACACGTTCACCTAAAAGTTACCTCTGAGGTACGTGCTCCCTGACTCCCCGAGTGGCTACCGCGTTCTTTCTGGTTCCTTCTATCACCCAGGGTGGCTGCCTGGGGATGCACCTCTGCTAAACCCACAGCCCTCCTTCAGCCTTGGCTGCAGTTTAGGACCAGGAAGCAGCCAAGGTGTCACTGTGAATTTCTTGGTCTCTCATCTCTTGCTTTCTGCACATGTTAGTTTTGGCTCCAAAGGTGAAAACCACATGCTGGCATTTTTTAAGAATCCCCGAAGAGAACTAAATGAGAGCTGTTTATTTCTCTACTCATCCTGCTTTTCCTTTTTCCTCCTTCACCTTCTCTTTAGTTCTCATTCTTTCTACTTCATGAATGAACTAAAATTTTACTTAATCGCTTGTATTCATTTGGTCATTCATTCATTCACTCATCAACAAAAATTCATCAAGTGGCTAATGGGCATTAGTTGTTTTCTATATTTCTGATGGCATAGACAGTACTTCTAAGCTTTGTTCAAAGTCTAGCTCTTAGAAAAAGACATCTGCCGATTTGGTCCTTAGAAATTTCTAGGTGTTCTTAGAGCCAAACAGAAATTTCTGTTTTTAACATTTAAAAAAAAAGTTATATTTGCCACTGAATGTGAATTTCAAATAGTTCCCATTTTAGTGTATTTTCTTTTACTTTGCACCATCACAAAATCCCAGAATTTGAAAGGGTACATGCCTCGTTATTAATGACAGACGCTAACACTTATTCGACACTGACTTTGTGCAGGCACATGAAAAGCATCATATGTGCATTGACTTACTTAATTTTTACAACAACCTGCTATGGTAGATATTATTATTATCTCCATTTTACTGATGAAACTGAGGCTTGGATAGGTAGTGTTATTTGCCCAAGGACTCTCAGCTGGTGAGCGGTGACTTTAGTTTTGTCTAATACCAATAGTTTAATCTCTACTCTCTACTGTCTTCCAGATCATCCAGAGCAGTTGGAGGGAGAACTTGCAATGCCAAAGGACCAAAGGATGAACATCTAAGATGGGAATGGAACTTTCTTGACCTGTAAACTAGGTGACTATCAGTTGCTGTCAAGCTGACTCCTACTTATGGTGGCCCTATGTGTGTCAGGGTAGAACTGTGCTCCATAGGGTTTTCAGTGGCTGATTTTTGGAAGTAGATCACCAGGCCTTTCTTCTGAGGCACCTCTGGACTTAAACCACCAACCTTTTGGTTAGATGCCAAGCATGTTAACCATTTCTACCACCCAGGAACTCTAAACTAGGAGACTATGGGGCATGATTTCTGTTTGGCCTATCCCTACATCTAAGAGAGAGATCACTTGAGGATGGCCAGATCCCACCCGGGCTGGCTTACCTTCTGAGCCTTGGGCATGTCAGTGTGGCGCTGGGCACGGACGGAGCGGGCTGACTTGGAGGGCTTGAGGGGTGCGCAGTACATCTCCAGCCTCCTCAGATCACAGCTCCGGAAGCAGCACTCGTCCACGATGCCCGTCTGAGGCGCCCGCCGACTGCTGGAGCCGTACCCTGTGGGCTTGTCTGTACAAATCAAATGCAGAGTGGCCTGTCTTAAGAGGGGAGTCTGATATCTTCGAGTCTTCCACCCAATTCCTGACACCTTTCCTCTCCCCACATCTAGTCAACCTACACATTCTCCAGTGTCTCAACCTCTCCTTGATGCTTCCCCAACAATCCCAGACCACACAGATCCTTCTGGAATCCGTTCTGGAATCTCTTGGAGTCTGTACCACACTCGTTAGCACTAACGCATTCACTACGTACTTCATTTGTGCTAATTATCACCACCGCCTTAGTAACTTGTAGCCAAGAAGCTTGTCTATGCCCAATCCTAGCACTTCCCTACCTGTTGGGTTAGTTGGCAGGTGGCCAGGAATATTAATTAAAAGAAGATCCTGTGCTAAGACCCCTTAATCTTTTTAGCATTGTTGTTGTTACTTGCCTTCAAATCTATCTTGATTTCTGGTGACCGCGTGTGCAGAGTAGAACTGCTCCATAGGGTTTTCAAGGCTATGACCTTTCGGAAGCAGGTTGACAGGCCTTTCTTCTGAGCTGCCTCTGGGTGGGTTTGAATTGCCAGCCTTTCAGCTGGTAGTCAGGTGCCTAACCATTTGCGCCACCTAGGGACTCCTCTTTTTAGCATTAAGTTCCCTTAATCTTTTTATATGCAGGACAGCTCAAATGTTTGCTCTTTTGCTTAACTGCTCCACTGTAAAATCAGACCGAACAGCAGAGAGGTTTCAAATCTGGAAAGGACTCCTCATTTGATTGAGTGAATGTGGAAACTGAGACTCAGAGTTGGGAATGACTTGCTCAAGGTCATTCATATGCCAAGTGATGGAGCCAGAATTTAAACTCACACTTATTTGCTGCAAAGCCCAAGCGCCTCATAGAGCCCAGGAAACCTGTCGTATGAATCTTTAAAACTCACTTAAGCTCTCTTGAGTCTCCCTTTACCAATTTGTATAATGGGCCAATAACATCTTCCTTGTAAGGACTGTTTGAGGATTCAGTGAAATAATGTACGAAAAGTGCTTAGCACAGCCCGACACATAGTAGATCCTAAATACATATTGGTTCCCACCTTCTGAGCCCCCCTTTCCAGGGTCTTCTATGGCCTGTGAAGGAATGGTAGTATCACAATCAATTGCCTCCCGTAGCCTCAGAACTTAGAGCTGATGACAATGCCCGTGTGATAGTGCTCTCTCTCCCACATCCCCAGAGAGATCAGAATAATCAGTTTTATTTTCTTATGGAATAACTCCTAGGCTGAGACAGAATGAACTCAATTTCCATCTTTCAGGTGATTCTGATAGCTTGGATACCATGAATCAAATTTCTTTTGATATTTGCAAATCACTTAGACCTCTCCATTTGGCAAGTAGGTTTGGGTTTGGTTTGATTTTGTTTTATTGTGTTTTGCACACACTTTTCCTGGCTCTAGAATTAAAAGAGGACAAAACAAGCTTACACAGAACTAAAAATATACTGAGTTAGTTGTAAACTTTTTGTCAAAGTATAACATTTATTAAACCAAAACTTTCATAAAAACTAACATAGAAAACAGACAAAAGTGAAGTTGCTCTGGCTGAGGCATGGGCAGGAGGTCTATATCTCTACCTTCTTTCATCTTCCTCACCTCCCTCGGGGGAGGTTGGGGTGGGTAGGTCTTCTCTAATGATGCCCAGGCTTCATGGGAGAAATTTTGTGAACTATTGATCCAGAAGAATGCAATAAATCAATCTGACATATTTTCGCTCTCAATTCCTAACACAGAAGAACGCATTATATTTTAAATCAAGTCTTTCAAGTCGCGATGACACCACCCTTCAGGATGGGGCTTTGAAAGTCAAAATCCCCATGTACATTTTGAACTCTGTAGTTGGGGGAGTTCAGACCCATGGTAATGGCCTGCTACCAAACTAGTTTGGCTGTCAGTCACTGAGGCAAGCTTCCTGTGGCTGCTTGCTGCTCAAAGCACCAGTCGTTGATGGCATCTCTAAGGGCACAGATATTATCCTCTGCTGGATGCTTCCTCCATAAGTCAGGTTTATTGTCATTCTTAGGGCAGCTGGAGGTAGTAACTCAGTGAGGGTTCATTTGTAGTCTCTCTGGGCGGGGTCCGCTGCTTTCCCTTGGAGCAAACCCTATGGTTTCCTCCTGGTTGTGGGGCTGGGGAGGAACCAGATAGCTGGCCCCAGTCGCGCCTCAGCAATGCTTTCTCTTGCCATTGGAGGATCAACTTAGTGCAGAAGCGGTCTCTTGGCTTCTGCTCACAAGCCAGACCCTGGCAAACCAAGACAAGACTGGTCCCCCGAGTTCTATAAAGAATTTTTTTTTTTGTTGTTGTTTTTATAGTCTTTCCCTGGGACTATAAATTAGAGGAAAAACACAAATGGCTTGCATGGTTCTTTGTAATCCACAAAGGACCTCTACATACTTCCTGCTAAGTGGCTATTTCAAGAGGCCAAAGGGGTCAACTAGTAAAGAGCAGTTGATACGCTTTGGTTTTTCTCTTAGAGTGGGGATGGAGGAGAAGGTTACTTGGTCTAGAACATGGGAACTGTCCCCGTAGTTCGACACAAGTAATGACAAATTATTGAGGCTATAAATTTCTTAATGGGACATAATTGGGACTTGCTTGTTGATTATGCAATAGCAATGTGGTGGTTGGGTGTGAGATGATGGGAATGGTTCTAGAAACTTTCAAACTTGTCTAACTCAGAAACAACTGATTTCAAAATGCTTGCTTATTGGTTGTAGATGGAGAGAGATGGGCTTTGGGATTCCAGGACTTATTTACCATTTCCATTTCAAGCATCTCCCACTTGATCCTGCTTTTTGATATCGTATAGGTGCTGGAGCTCCTTGCCTGCTACTGGAGGAGGCACCAACCTTCACCTTGGAATGGCAGAGAACATTTCTATGTGTTGCTATAATTCTCTTCTTGTGACTATCAACAGTTATGAAACTCATCAGAGTTTTTCCTCTTGTAAAATGGAGAGTAATCACCAGTACATCAAAAATAATAGCACACACCAAACATCTGGTTTGTTACCTCTCGTAGGCGAGCTCAGAGTTTGACAAGGCTCAGTCTATAAGATAGCTGTGCTCTTCAGTCCACAGACTGATGAATTTAGAAATGGAGAATTAGGACTTTTCTGTAATGTTCCATAAAGGAGGTTCATCTGAAGTTCATATCTGTTTTTTAAATGCAGTTGAAGTAGTGCTATACAGACTTGGATTTTGCCTTAGCTGTAACTATCTCTAGCTGCCGCAGTTCTACAGAGATGTTTTTCTTTGTCTATTCATAATGTCTACAATTGACTCATTGTACTTCATTGGGAATATCTGAATATAACAAGCTTTACCTATTGGCTTTTGAAGTTTAATTCATCCTCTGAAGTGTCCTATAGACTTGATTTCTGGTTCTACAACAAGATATTAAAAAAAAAAAATAGCCATTTCTCACCAATGGAGAGGCCACAGCTGAGGGTCAAAGGCTTGCCCTTTATCTTCAAATGCTTTAGATTGCTTCTTTTTCCAGAAACAAAGTAAAGATATTTGCTGTTATGGGCTAAAGCTGGAAACTTGATACAATGTGGTTTGCTAGAAAGACAGTAAACCAATTTGCTCCTGTATCAATTTTGAGAAAAATAGATATTTTTAATGACCTCTAAATGGAAGCTGTTGTCATTATGATTAATTTTTAAATGAGATGTAACCAATTGTTCCATATTTGCCTTTAAAAACTCCTTATCAGGCGCTATGTGATTCTGTCCCAATGGGCAGAATCAGAACCAGTTGGTGAATAGAAAACAAATATTGGCTTGATATAAGAAAAAAGTTGCTAATGATTTGAACTCAAAAGGGTTAAAAATGGGACGGGCTTTCTTGAAAGGTAATGGACTCCCCATTAGTGGAAATAGTTAAGTAAAGGCTGCATGAACACCTGTCAGAGGTCCTAGGAGCAGATTCCTGTATTGAACAGTAGATTACTGGTAAGGTCCTTTCTAATCCTAAGGTTTTATAACACATGAAAATATGGAGGCAAAATCTCATCTGGGCCAAATATCCAGTATGGGTGGAAATCACTTGCATTGTCTTTAAGAAAGAAATTCAAATATTTTCTAGCTTATCAGCTGCCTTCAAGTCGATTCCAACTCACAGAGACCCCATGTGTATGAGAGTAGATCTGTGCTCCATAAGGTTGTCAATGACTGATTTTTCAGAAGTAGATAGACAGACCTTTCTTCTGAGTTGCTTCTGGGTGGACTTGAACCGAAAACCTTTTGGTTAGTAGCTGAGCATTACCCATTTGCACCACCCAGGGACTCCGTAGCTTAGAAGGTGAAAATTTGTTATCTGTTTATCAGAGTTCCCTAAGATGCTCAAAACATTTTTTTGTCATGCTTCCTTGAGGCAACAACAAAATATAAGTGACTGAGATAGTCCTTCCTACAGCAGGTACAGTCTAAGAGTTCTGCCATATTAGCATTATGAAGTATCCATATACTCACTCAACCATTAGAGTGAACAGACATGTATAAAATTTTACAGAATATTTCTTGCTGACAAAATCGTAACACCGAAAAAAATGTATATTTTGTCAGTAGTTTTTCTCCAGAGTTTTCATAGCATGAAGGCTAAAGATTGCTTAGCAGATGAGTTGGCTACCGCCTAACTTAGACCTTGACTCTCCTACCAGTAGACATAATGTTTAGTCACAATGCACTGCTGTTTCTTGAAAGTTGGCCAACAGACAGAATTCCAATGGTTAAACAGCTGGCTTCTATAATAACAGCACTTCCCTTTAAATAATGCATGGTCAGTGGGGTAATTCAATAATCTTCAGGGCAAACTTGCTAGTTACAAGGGTTTTCGGCAGAATTGTGGCATCATCAAAACCACACCAATTAGCTGAGTCTCACATTTTGTCATGGATGCAAGCAGCTCGCTTCCTTCCATCTCTGAAGGGGAATGTGGAATGCTGAGATTTAACTGGGGTCATCAATTCTGGA